AAACAGAAATTATAGCAAGTTGATGTCAGTCAGCTTAGATGGTCCAAGCCAAAATTATATCGTATTTGAAGTTTCAAACTGAGTTGAAAATAGTGGAAGAAAAGCCGTAATTATACTTATTGTTACAATCCATTTAATAAAATGCAACATTTTTTTGTTTTAATGAAAAAATCAGTTATTTTCATGAGAACGATTTCTTATTCCATCTCAATTTTTTTAATCTCCAATCGCAATAACGTAAAGTATTATTACCCGCGAACCAGTGAGTCAAATTTAAGAAACAACCCACTGTTAGAAAGCTGAATGGCTACGCTTTAAAATGAATGTAAACTTTAACGTTTTCGTCTATTATTTGTTTAGCAATTTACATTTCAGTCGAGGATTGCGCTTTTTTTGATACACCCTGTATAACTACCGCATATTTGATAAAAACATATTTATTTTTTATGGCAAAATATATTACAACTGTTCTAACTCATCAGACCATATTCTTTTGTATTTCGTCGGTTTTTAACTCCCCCGTAATAACCTTCAGTCTAAAAGCAGGCGGTGGTATTTGATTTCTCCGGGGGAAATACGGGGTTGAAGGTTATTACGGAAAAATAATAACCGGGTAGCAGGTTATTACGGAAAAATAATAACCGGGTAGCAGGTTATTACGGAAAAATAATAACCTGGTAGCAGGTTATTACGGAAAAATAATAACCTGGTAGCAGGTTATTACGGAAAAATAATAACCTGGTAGCAAACTAGCAGGTTATTATTTTTTCCGTAATAACCTGCTACCAGGTTATTATTTTTCCGTAATAACCTGCTACCAGGTTATTACGGAAAAATAATAACCAGTTACCTGGTTTTACATTTTCAATTCAAGACCTGGCATGAGTCTTGAATTCGGGACTTGAATTTGCAGGAAAACTCAAGACCCACATCTCCTTTTCGACTAGAAAACGTTGCACGTCTCTAAGTCGAGAAAGAGACAACAACAGCCGTGTACCTCAGAGCCCGTCAAAACTCTACCATTAGGTAAGAGTAATTTTTTATTAAAAACCCCACATAGTGTATATCACTACGGGGAATCAAAATTATTTGACACACAATTCCCATGCATTAGATTACATTAAATTATTTACATTAAGTCACACAAATATTGACTGTTAGATCAAAGTTCGAATTATACCGTTTGTGACACATGCTAAGACATTGTTTAAACACCATTTTGACTCAAAGTTTTTCGTGCCCATGATGCCCTGTTCTGTTTCTAATCGAGTTCGCACATAATTCCTAAAATATACAAGACTGTTGATTTTGTCATTCTTCCTAAACTGATATGACACGCGCTCTTTCCACGCGGAAAATTTGCCAACACTAATTAAGTAACGCAAAAGGTCTCTTGTTCTTGTTCGCGGGAAACAACCCAACAACATATTCCGTTCTGACAGACCAATAACCGATGCATCAATTTGATTGCACAGTTTCAGAATAAACATCCACAGCTCCTTTACCATCGGACAATGAATCAACGTGTGTTCCAATGTTTCGATTCTTTCACCACACCGTGCACATGCTGAGGATATTCTTGAATACCATTTATGCACTCTGAAATTGACAGGCAAAACCCGATGTACCGCGCGCCAATCAAAATCACGTAACACTGGATCATTGAAACTTCGCGCGACATCTGTCCAAATCTCTTTCCAGATTAAACCAGGACCAAATCTTTGATTCCAAGCTAACTCGCTTCTTGCTTGTACCGGGGTAACACAATCTTCAATACGTTTTAAATAATACATTTTACTCGTGCAAGGTTGTCCCAAATCAACAGCAAATTCTCTCAGAACACGAAGAAGATGACTATAAAACGGAGTTGGAATGTCGCTATTTGGTCTCGAGTTATCGTTTATGCCTAAAGACCGTCCGATGTAATAACGCATGAAATCTTTCCAAGGTGCCTCACTCTCCTCAAAAAATCGGAAAACACGACCAATCAACAATGCTTTGCTTTTGATGTCAAGATTAATAATTCGCAGACCCCCATTCAGATAGTCTGACATACACGTTTCCCGACGCACCCACTCCGGTTTCTTTGACCAAACGAATTTCCAAATTTCTGATTGTAGCGAGTCAATACATTCACGCGTTAGCGGGTATATCTTTACCACATGCCAAAGCGTCGAAGCCACCAGACTCCCGATCACCGTCATTTTCCCCCGTAACGTTAGATACCGTGGTTCCCATTTCTTCAATATTCCCTTGAATTTGGCCGTAACCTCTGCCCATGACTGGATATTTGCATTTTCGGAACCAAAGTAAATACCAACAATTTTTAAGCTCGTGTTAACCCACGTTAGACCACAGGGTGAATCAGTACGAGATCGCCACCTACCGAGCCAAAGACCCTTTGATTTCGTTGTATTAAGCCTCGCTCCGGATGCTCGACCATATTCATTAAAGACATCGATGACTTTAACAAGGCCATATGAATTGGTAACAATGCAGGTGTTATCATCAGCATATTGTGATATTTTCACTTCCTTCCCTCCAGGCACACGCAATCCCTGTATTTCTGGGCACTTCCGAATCGCTTGTCCAAACACTTCCGCCACTATGACAAACAACAATGGAGATAGCGGGCACCCTTGTCGTACACCTCGTTGCACTTGAAAAAATTCTGAAACATAACCATTGGAGATTATAGCACTCTGAATATCATGATAAATACATTTAATGTATGATCGAAATTGTGGACCAAAGTTCATGGTATCTAAAATTCTGTCTAAAAAGCCCCAGTCAACATAATCAAACGCTTTTTCTTGATCTATCGATATAAAGGCACAGGCCATTCTTTCATTAACTTCCAGATAGTCACATACGTCTCGTAGGAGAGTCGCATTGTCTTCACTCGAACGACCAGGGACAGAACAGCATTGATCCGGGTGTATTATTATGGGCATAACAGGTTTAACACGATTTACCAGAACTTTTGTAATAATCTTGTAATCTGTATTGAGGAGCGAAATTGGGCGCCAGTTTTTCAATAATTCAGGATCTTCTTTCTTAAACAACAGTGATATTAATGCTTGGCGCATAGACTCAGGCATCAGTTCAACTGAAAAACAATAATTTGCCATTTCAACAAAGTCTTCTTTAAGCAGGTCCCAAAAGGACAAATAAAATTCTTTCGGTAGACCGTCGGAACCAGGGGTTTTGCCATTTGCCATAGACTTTACTGCTACCAAACATTCATCCACCGTTAACTGTCCCTCGCATGAATCGCGTTGCTCATTTGTTAGTTTTCTGTCCAGTAAATTGAGTAACCGATCTTGGGCAACTTTATCTGTCGGCATTTCTGAATAAAGTTCTTTATAAAAACTAACTTGTTCCTTTGAGATATCATCTTGCTCAGTCAATCTCCGCCCATCACTCGTGCGCAGAGCAGGACACGTTTTCTTAACCGCTCTTCTTTTCTCCTTTTGGAAGAAAAAGCGTGATGGCTGTTCGTTTGATTCAAGCCATTTTGCTCCACTTCGAATCTTGTTTCCTTGAATACGTTTTAAATCCATAGTTTCCAATTGGGACTTAACTAAGTCGAGTTCTTTAACTTCGTCCTCCGATAAATTGGTTTTACACACAATACGACGATAGCGATTAAGTACGGTCGCACGTTCTTGCTTGCGCTTTCGAGATGCTTTGTGACTATATTTGAGAAAAAGAGATTTAACTCGTAACTTGCCATAATCCCACCATTCTGCTACATTACCAAAATCATTTTTCCTGTCTTTCCAATGTTCCCAAAATGAAGCAATTTGCTCACGAACTTCTTGCACTTGTAATAATGAGACATTTAGCTTCCACACACCGGGGCCAACATTACTAGTAGCTTTGTCAACTGTTAACAATACCCGAACAAGATCATGATCCGAATAGGGATAGATCATTATGTCTGTTTCGATGTCATAATCCCTTACAAGCGATGAAGAAAAATAAAATCTGTCCAAACGACATTTAATGTTACCACGTTTAGTTTGCCACGTAAATTGACGATCAGTTGGATGCTGTTTACGCCAAACGTCAACTAAATCAAATCTCTGTATTAGTTTCTTGAGATATAAAGCACCAGTATCTCCTGAGACAGGATTTCCGCCATATTTATCGTTCGCCAAATCTAACATGCAATTAAAATCACCTCCAATAATTAACCGTCTACGAGAGACAAAATGTTTATCAAGACTTTGAAAAAATTCTATGCGCTTGGACCCGTCAGTAGGGGCATATATATTAATAAACCTCAAGTCCTGACTATTGAATGTACAGTCCAAAGAAATGATACGTCCAGCAGCATCACAACGAAAAGTACAGTGTTGGAATCTGTCGGGATCACGGAGTAATATACCAACACCACAACTATTTGACAAGCCAAGACTCCAATACCCTTTCAGACCCGACGCCTTGTTCCATTTTACACAATCGTCAACGGTTGCAATATGCGTTTCTTGAAGAAATATTACATCAAATTTTTCATACTTTAAAAAATCAAACAGCAGACGACGTTTCCGATGGTCTCTAAGCCCATTAACATTTAAAGATACCACACTAATTTCCGCCATTGTCCCTTAAGGTTTATTATGTTTTTTCCTCTTCTTCTTTTTCTCCTTATTGGTCTTTTTTGTCCGTTCTTCAGGTGAGCTGCCCATGTCACTGACACGTTGGTCAGTGGAGTCTCCAGGAACCTTAACACCTTCGTCAGGTATGGAAACGTCCTCTTCTGCTTTTCTTTTGTTGTTCTCGACGGTTTGAACAGATCCTTGTTCTGCTGAGTAAGATTGGCTGACATCATTATATATCTTGTTCATGACTTCATCTCTGATGTCACCTGGATCCTTACAACTTGTCGAGTCCACAGGGTCCATATCTTCATCATTCGACCGAGAGTCTACGCTACGGTCTTCATCACGACCAATATCGTTACTCAAATTACTTTCCGACGTTTCATCATCGCTGTCATTGGACACGTCACGTCGATTCTCGAGACAATTTGCCCTGACATGCCCAAACTGTCCACATAGAAAACACTTGAAACATTGACGTTGTATGTGACCATTTTGACCACACTTGAAACACTTTACATCATTCGAACATGTAGCAACTCGATGACCATATTCGCCACATCGACCACATAAAGGCACTTGCCCACGATATCTAGTTTCTATCGGATAAGGGCCAATAAAGAGACGACGGGGAATCCCCTCAGTTAATTCACTCATTGTTGCCAGTCGAACCCCAGTTTCGACATTAGGCCAATCACGATACATTTCCCGATCCACCTTCACTATTTTGCCATACTTCGCCAACGTTGCAGCTATCGTTTGATTAGAAATTTCACTAGGGGCATACAAAACTTTCACTTGTAACGTGGCCATATCAAGCTCTTGAGCAATAACTCGTTCACCCCGCAAATAAAACGGTTGATCTAAAAATAATTGTTTATATTCCAACGAGCGAAAAGTCAAACGATACCGAGGTCCAGGAACTTGTTGCACACATTTAATTGTATCTTGTCTCACACATTTTAACACTGCATCCATGACCTCACGCACGGTAATATCCTTAAACGCTTGGGTATGCAACACAACAGAGTTGGGTCTAGCAACCCTAGCACCAAACCGAGCATGTGGTAACGGAACAACTCCTTGACTTAAATTCTGCGAACCAACAATATCTGCCCACGATTTTCCAGCCGTTTGCATTTCTTCTCCCGCTCTTTCAATCACAATTTCTTGGCTCTGTTCGCCACCCTCCGCTGCGTTGTCGTCACCGCCGGGATTTTGCCTTTCGCCACCAGGACTGCTCCCTTCACCGCCAGGGTTTCGCTCTTCGCTGCCAGGCACTCCTTCTTCGTCTCCAACCTTCCTTACTTCATCTCCAACCTTCCTTACTTTATCACCAACACTTCCGTTTTCCTCACCCACTTCTATATCCATTCCTCGTTCTTCTGCACCAATTCTTCGTTCATCCATTGTTTAAATGTGGAATATTGATCATTCGGCGCACGAGGACTAGCTGGATCAACCATCAAACATGCTTGTGCAGGGAATTTATACAGTAATATCTGCTCTTTTGCTTGTGGGACGTGAAATGATATACTGCGCATGCTTAACCACATTTTAAAGCGTGTTAATGCGCATGTTACACCTAGTTATTTCGTCCCACAACTGCAGCGACCTCTCATTGAATTAATATAGCTTGAATTTTTAATGAAGAAAACCTCCAAAATTCAAAAGAATATGGTCTGATGAGTTTGTAAATATAGGTTAAAAGCCAAGGGAGAGGTTTTTATTAAACTGTAAAGACCTCGGGCCTTCGGCCCTCGGTCTTCACAGTTTAATAAAAACCTCTCCCTTGGCTTTTAACCTATATTTATATCACACTTGCGTCGGTTTTCTTTGTTCGTCCGAGGTTTATAACTAGCTTATAGACCTTGAATAAATGATTAGATTAAACTTGTAGACAAAACGCGAGAATTTTTCATTAAAAATTTTTGAAAATGACAAAATATGTTGGAAAACCTCCGCAAGTGTGATATAAGTTAGTTATAAACCGAGTAAGTCGGTTTATAACTGATATATTGCCCTCGGACGCTACGCGTCCTCGGGTCAATATATCAATTATAAACCTCCTACTCGGTTTATAACTCTTACTTGCCATGCGAGGGACTCGAGCAACATTAATCCCTTTATTGCATCACACACGTGGAGCGACGCTAAAAAATCAGCATGAGCTCCACCTTTGAATTTACTATATGAGTAAATTCTTAAACACGTCCGAATTTATCATTATGATAAATTCGCGGCAAATTTTGAATTTATCATAATAATAAATTCGCGGCACCTAATACTAACCCTAACCCCAACCCTAACCACTAACCCCTAACCCCTAACCCTAACCCCTAACCCTCATTTTTTAACTTTTTAAATTTTTTTAACTTTTTTAAAAATCTAACTTTTTAAACTTTTCTTGCTTTTCAAAACTCTTTTAAAACTTTTTAAAACTTTTTAAAACTCCCCTTTTAGTGCCATTACATTTATAACAAGAAACCTTGTGCAATGATTGTGGTTTTATGATTAACTCTATTGATAAATTCAAAATGTGCCGCGAATTTATCATAATGATAAATTCGGACGTGTTTAAGAATTTACTCATATAGTAAATTCAAAGGTGGAGCTCATGTTGTAAAAAATGTGTAGTCAGCAAGTTTTGTCCGACCTTGTTTAAGCTTGCCCGCGTGACGTCATGCATATATTAAGTGAACTGCATATAATGTGCGGCCCCCCATATATAATTAAGGGTAATTACCTGCATATATAATGTGCGGCCCCCTTAATTATCTGCATGTATAATGATGCGGCTCCCTGCAAAAGGGGGTTGAACGGCCCCTATATTACTACTGGCGTGTGTTCAAAAGTTATTATATATAAATGTTGTTATGACTCTTACGGAAACAAATAAAAGAAAATAGAAATAATCGAACTGTTCCAATTGACAAAATTGACAATATAGACAACTAACAAAACATATAGATAACTATTTACAATAAAGTATATATATATATATATATATATATATATATATATATATATATATATATATATATATATATATATATATATATATATATATATATATATTAATATATTATTTAGTAACATGAGCAGCAATTTTTCTTTCAAATAGAGACTGGGACCTAATCCCTCTGATTTCTTTAGGCACTGAGTTCCATATTTTTGCCTCATTAGACATAAAACTCTTTTTCATGCTATTTGTGCGGGGCTGTGGCAAAACGAGTGTTGTTTCATTGTCACGGAGACAGTAATGTGTATTCTAATTCTTGTAGGTAAAAAGGTCTGCGCGTTAAGGCCATGTTACACGGTGCAATTTTTCTTGCAACTTGCAATGCAATTCTACTCTTGACAGATGTAAAATTGCCAAATACGAGTCTTCATTACACTCCGCTGATGTTTTCTCAACATATCGAAAATTCTTCACTGATTTCACTAATTAACATCTCTCAAGAGTAGAAATGCATTGAAGAAAAATTGCACCGTGTAACATGGCTTTTAGGCCAAGACTTATTCAGAATTTTGAACATTAATTTTGCTTTAGCTTTAGCTTTAGTTCTTTGTACTTTTAGTGTCTCCCATCCTATTAACGAATTTAATGCAATTTGAGCATTAACTTCATTACCCGTGTCCATAATAATTCGAACGCATCTATTTTGAAGCTTTTGTAATCGTTGTGATTGAGTTTCGCCAAAAATGTCTCACACTTCACAACAATAAGTAAAGTATCGTTGTACAATTGCATTAAATATAGAAACAAGTGTATGACGGTCAACAAATTCTTTTAGGTTTCTAATAACAGAAATGGCTGATGTGATTTTCTTACAGATACTCTCAGTGTTACTTTTCCAAGAGAGATGCTGATCAACTATTACTCCTAGTGTCTTGCATTCCTGTTTTCAATCATTATGTTTAAATTTGAATCTGAAACAGTATGCACTAGAGATCTTGATCCAATGAGCATAAATTCAGTTTTGGCAATGTTTAGGCTCAGTTTTTTCGCGTTTAACCACATTCTGAGGTTTTCCAAATCAGAGTTCATTGCATTTTCAACATCATTAATTGTTCCACCGGAAGCAGTTAGGTTTGTGTCATCTGCAAAAAGTCTTGGCTTTGTCCTATTAGGCATTCAGATAAATCATTTATGTATATTAGGAAAAATAAAGGACCTAAAAACGAGACAACACCATTTACTTGGCATTTTTGGGTGCATGCGATTAGTAAGATATGATCTCAACAACAAATGTGCCTTATCCGTAAACTTGCATTTTCTCAAGTAGAATTTCGTGATCTACGGTGTCAAATGCTTTTTTAGATCTATAAAAAATACTAAGTTAAACATTTTTCGATCCATGTTAACGTACCAACTATTTGTTGAATCTAAAAGGGACGTAGCGGTAGAGTAAAACTTACGAAAGCCAAATTGGTTATCAGAAAGAATTTCGTTTTTAGTTAAATAATCATACAGCTGGTCGTACAGTAATCTTTTCATGATTTTGCTTATGACTGGTAGTATCGATATTGGCCTGTAATTATCAGGAGTATTAATACGATGACCACTTTTATAAAGAGGTAAAACTCTAGCTACTTTCCATTCATCTGGAAAGCTGCAAAGAGTAATACTTTGATTAAAAATATATGTAAGTGTAGCAGAAATAACTGGTGATGCTAATTTAAGAATTTTACTGGAAATTTTGTGAACACCACATGCTTTGTTACAAGACAGCCCTCTTAAAAGATCAAAAATTTGTTTACCGCAATTGGTGTAAATGCAGCGAACTCGGATTCAGAACGTTTAGTATAATTTTGAAAATCACAGCTAGATTCATCCAACTTGCTTGCCAAGTTAGGTCCAACAATTGCAAAGAATTCATTTAACCAGTGCCGTAGCCAGAACGATAATTGGGGGGGGGGGGCACATATTCATATATTCGTGTTCTGCTTTATTAATTTATTTTGAAATCAATTGTTTTTATGATATGTAAACACGAATATATGAATATGTGCCCCCCCCCCCAATTATCATTCTGGCTACGGCACTGCATTTAACCCTTCTGCAATCTTTGTAGGATTTGTTAATTTAGATTCATTAATAATTAGTTCATTTATAATCGTGGGTTTCTTTCCCTTTCCGATCAAACTATTAATATTTTCCGATCAAACTATTAATATTTTCCAAGCCTGCTTTGGATTGCACTTTTGGTTAGCAATCTTTTTAGAATAATAGTCTGTTTTGGCTTTCCTTAATTCGGTATTTGTTTGATTTCTGGCTTTTTTATAAATGAGCCAATCGGATTCTTGTTTTGTAATAATTGCTTTTCTTTTCAATTTATCTCTTTCGGTTATGAGCATTTTAATTTTGCTTTTGTCCAAGGGACACTTTTTGATTTTATCTTTTTGTTTTGAAGTGGTGCATGCTTATCCAGGACCTCTAAAAAGACTTTTCTCCACATCTCCCACATAGTATTTGGATTATCTGGAAAATAATAAATATGATCCCAGGGTTGATTCTGCAAATCCTTCAGAAATTTTAGATCATTGAATTTCTTCATGTTTCTAATTTCAACAATATTTACATGACGTTTTACTGAAAAAATTATTTTTCTTATTGCGAAAATCATACTATGATCACTAGTTCCAGTATGTATTGCCCCAGAGTCAGAAATTTTCTCTGGTCTATTTGTAATAAAATGATCAATAAGGGTGGATGTTGTTAACGTTATGCGCGTAGCTTCATCAATCATTTGTGACAATTGATATAGTTCACATATGGATTTGAGTTTTTTAGTTAATTGGTCTGGATTTGTCTTAAGTAAATCACAGTTTAGATCACCAAGAATGTGAATTTCTTTGTTTTCATCATCTATTTTTTTAACGAGACTTTCTAAACCAATAAAAAATTCGGATGACGGATTTGAAGGTCTATAACCTGTTACTACGACGAACGGCTGACTTTGAGGCTTAATGTTTTCAACACAGACAGGTTCAAGATTTTTAGGCACTAGATCATGCCTAATCCGATAATTAATGGAGCTACGCAAATACATGCAAACACCAGCTCCTCTAAAGCTTACCCCTGGGTCATTCTCATGCCATTTGAGAGAAATGATATGGAGATATCGACCAAATGGTTGGGTTTGAAACCAATATCCTCCTCTGTATCTATCGTTGGGTTCAATCTGACTGTACATCAAGTCATCCACGTTTTCTCCCTCTTCTTCATCATGAGGGTGGTAGTCCCAGAGATTGTTCTGAATCTCATTTCCACGTAGGCCCAGGAAATATCTACACAAAAAATAATTAAATATCTGGCCAAGAGAAACAATAATACCCTTGTTCTCACAATGTTAGCTAGGAAGCAACGATATATCCTTACATCTGTTTTCTTTTAACTCTATTATCGAATCAACGTCAACCAGATTTTAGACAAAAAAGTGACAGCATCTATGAGCGATAACAATCGGAAGATTTAAAGAAAACTTAAGAAAGAGAGAACTTGTTCCCATGCAAATGCGCATGTCATAGTTATTACGACCATATATAATCAACTGAGCCCACCTGTTACTATAAAAACACCCTTGACTCAGCCAACGTTTCTGTCTTGGTATCCAACCAGTCCAGTTCCAAGGTTCCTCACTGTGTGTGGCCTTGTAAATATGGACCCCTCCGCCCATTCCAGCTACCAATGGGAAGTTTAACCTGTTATCGACCACGGCATTGTAATGATCTGCCAATCTTTTTTCAACGACATGATACCCCTCTTGCCAGGAATTGTCCTTGTACACAGGAGCACCATATTTATCATAGTACTCTATGGACAGAATGACAGATATTATAAACATGATTTTCAAGAATAGCCTGTGATGATATAGCCGCAGTAAACTGTAGTTTTCGCGTTACATAGCCTAATGTAAAAATAAATATATGAAATTAAATGCATGCTGGTGCCATTCGTTAAAATAGTTCTTGATCCAGAACATTATAATGTTCAATCTAGCCATTGAGGAAAACTGTCATTTTCATTTTAATTCTTGTCAAACTCTCTGTTCTACACTTTTGTTCATGTTTAGGCGTGGTGAAGACAATAAATATTTTTCACGTTGATAATGCATATTTTTGCATGTTGCACAAATAATACTTTCTTTATGGCATAATCAACCGTACTGATAAAAATATTAACAATAATAATATCTTAATTACCATGATCCCCATGGATTCCCTGTCCATAACGGTCATAACCTCGTAGATGACAATGCAAAAACAGAGAAACCTCCGGTCCAAATGCCAGCTCTATTGATTGGTTTGTGAAGGGACAGTCGTTCTCACTTGTCGAGTTTCTGAAACTCATCTTTCTAAAATTCATGTGCAGTTATAATCAGGACCGGAGATACGGGGTTGGGGGGGGGGGGGTGACACCCCCCAGAAATTTTATTCAGTCGGCAGGACTGCTATTCAGTCGGTAGGACTGCTATTTGGGTTAAATATTTTCGCGCAAAGGGCAAGATAAAGGTTGTTGGTCTCCGAAAAAACTTTTCTCGCCCGGGTTCCCGTCAACCTCTCGGCGGCCCTGTTCGTCAGTCGGTTGCAGGGCCGTAGCGAGCGGGGGTGGGGGGGGGGGGTGTAACACTCCCCCTGATAATTGCTCATATGAGCAATTTCAAGTAAATTCAGGTAGATTTGCAGAAGAAATTCGGGTAAATTAACGCAAATTCAGGCAATTCCTACGACAAGAGAAAGTTAACTTACAAAAATAACTATGAATTTGGAAAAAAATGAGGTATATTTACAAAAATTTCGAATATTCTAGAAATTTCCGAAATTTTAGAAAAATTTTATTGATAAATGGAGAAAATTTGTGATGTCTGGAAAATTTGTTTGATGTTCCGAAAAATTTGGAAATCCGGAAAATTTTTTTTCGCTAAAAATAATTTGTCCCCCCCCAAATTTTTTCATGTACTGTCGGTTGAAATGACCTTCCCCATTGAAGAATTCCCTGAGGACGGCCCTGGTTATAATTCACAGAAAGATTCAAGATCGGGTCACCTCTGGTCATCATTGATTAAGCAAACCAATTAATAAGTAATATATCTTGTTACATGAAAATACGTTTATGTTGTGAATCACCAGAAACTGCTGAGGCACTACATGGGTAGTATATAATCGATTTTTTAAATTAACATACTTTAAAATTAGGGGCCGTTCATAATTTACCGAAAAAACTGCCGTTATTAAGTGGGAATTTTGCCAGGCTCCTAAGCATCAAATTAGCTCTGTGGTAAATGTGAACCGCTATAGGAGCTCTGAATTGAATCGATTTAGGCTATGTTTACATTGTATCGGATCACTTTGCGTCCGACGCAAAAACCATACCGGATAGGGCTTCTGTTTACATATGAAATGTTGTTATCGTCTCAATTTCTGCAACGGACCGGTGGTGCGGCGGTTCGCTCTTCGAAGTGGTGCGCTGTGTATCGGATCGGTTTTTGCAACGCTCTCATTGCAATGTAAACACCAATCGGAGCAATTTTCGGTTCAATACGTGACTCAAGATGGCATCAGGGAAACAAAGACTTGCTATTCTAATCTTATTTGCGGGTATAGCTTGCTCCAGGCCTCGAATTTCCCTGAAATCAATCGACGGCAATGACGTTAAAAATTGCCGTAGAACGTAACAGCTGTCTACGGCAATTTTGACAATTTCCACGGCAATTTTCAAATTACTGTAATAAAACTTTAATTTTATTGTTACTTTGGATTTTTGACAAGCTAGAAACATGTCTACGTATTTCTTTAGTGTTTCTTTTTTCGAAGAAAACTGAGACTAAATTTGATCAACATCTGGATTCAAGTATCAAAATAGTAATGCACAGTGAGTAGTATAAAAATTACACTATACGGCAAAAAATTGCCGTCGTTGCCGCAATGATCCACGGCATTTTGTTCTCTCTCTACGGCAATTGCCGCGATAAAATTCGAGTTACTTTCATCCTGCTCATCAGCACTACACTGATGAGGCCCATAAGGCCGAAACGGTACCGTCTGTAATTAGATATCGCTCTATGGCCTTTGGCAGCCTAGTCCCAGGCTCTCTCTCCATTCGCTGCTTTGATATATTTAAATAAGTCTTACAAGTTTTATGCCTGGGTGTGCTGTGCGGAACGCTTCAGCGAGAGAGCCTAGCAGATTTCGGTAAAATGGTCCCTGATTTCAAAAAAGTGGTCCCTGGCCTGGTTACCAAGCATACATATATGGAAATTTCCTTTGTATTTATAATTAAGTCATTAGTTTTGCTCTAATGCTGTCGGAACAATGAAGTAGGCTACGTTTCGCGAACATACGGTCAGAATGGAATAACGGGCTAAATATGACTCGTGTTTACTAAAATATATAGCCTTATATCACACTTGCGTCGGTTTTCTTTGATCGCCCGAGGTTTATAACTAGCTTATATACCTTGAATAAATGATCAGATTAAACTTGTAGACAAAACGCGAGAATTTTTCATTAAAATGTTTTGAAAATGACAAAATATGTTGGAAAATCTCCGCAAGTGTGATATAAGTTAGTTATAAACCTCGAAAGTCGGTTTATAACTGATATATTGCCCCTCGGACGCTACGCGTCCTCGGGTCAATATATCAGTTATAAACCTCCTACTCGGTTTATAACTCTTACATATTAAATGCTATCTAGAAGCTTGAAAATTATGCCGAGTCTCCGACTAAGAATGTTTTGACAACACCGTCATGTCAGGCAAATATTTCCAATCTCCTCAGCAATTTAAACCTGTCAAGTAGAAAGCGTAGTTGTGTATACCAGTATGGTCTAGTGTTGATCACAACTTGCGAGTACATAAATAACATCAACGATTGCTCAAACTCGGTATCGTAAATTTGTATATAATTTTTTTTAGTTGAGCACATTTTTAATACAGTTTGATTTGGTTATGTAGACATCGAACATGTACATGATGAACGAACATTGTCGTATTTATAATTAAAAGGTTACTTGTACATATAAATTTTCCGCCATATTAAAAATACTGAAATCTGCTAGGCGTTCTGAAGCACCTTGAGCGGTGACGTCACACCTAGGTCCGAGTCTCGTACTACATCTACTTTTTTCTCGCGCTTGCTTCAGAACGACTGGGACTAGGCTGGGCCTTTGGGTCATATTGAGCGCTCTACAGGATGAGACATGCCGCTTACGCATTGCGCACGCTCACTGCTTGCAGTTTGAGCGCTCTGGCATGGTTTGATGTCCCACATTCGTGAGGCATCAAAAGTGACTATAGATAGCAGTTACTTTCATCCTGCTCATCAGCACTACACTGATGAGGCCCGTAAGACCGAAACGGTACCGTATATATATATATATATATATATATCGTGTGAACGGGGTCTAAAACTACTGAAAAGGTCCTTAAAAGACAGTTTTGCTTGAAAACTGTAATGAACTTGCCGAATGCTGTATTGTGAACGGCTAAAATTATTACTAATTATTTGTTAAAATTTACTAATTTCTTACCTTACCATGGTGCACCAGGGGTCAGGGCCTGTCGTGGAGGAAGGGCCACATTTCCAAATATATCTAGCCTACGTGCCGGCGTAGCAGGCTAAATATACCGCAAGAATATACCGCCCCACAAACTAATGTATGTACGTATCGTATGGTAGTATCGTTGTACAAAGGATATGAGTTAATTCAATTTTATTTTTCGAAGTTGTTATTGGTTCGGTCACAAAAACCAACGAGCTTTGGCTATTTGCCAGTTAATTAATTTGATTAGTTCATTGATTGAAATGGCCAGCGTTTCACACAGTAAAACCGGAACCTCAACCGCACATAACCTAACTAGCTGTTTAGGCCACCTGTTCGCAGGTCGATCCTCGGAGTTAGCGCGTACGTACCCTATTGCCTCGCATCAGGCCCCGCATATAAGCGCAGCGCCTATACAGTGTGTATAAAAAAAACCTGAACCTTTCAAATTCAAATTAGCTATAACGTATTGTAGTAATTTGACAGCTCTAATTGCTTTGAATTAATGGTTGGGTAAGAACACAAGGTCTTGTACTCATGGGACGAAACTCAAAGAAATAAAAATTAGAAAATTTAAAAGTTTTTAAGAGTTTTGTCCCATGAGTACAAGACCTTGTGTTCTTACCCAACCATTAATTCAAAGCAATTAGAGCTGTCAAATTACTACAATGAAAAGGTTCAGTTTTTTTCTATACACACTGTAGAGCGTTAATTGCACTCATTCCCCAGGGACCAACTCAACAAAAGCCATGGCGGCCATGTTGGTGTTCCAGACAAAAGAGTCTAATTAAAATTATTTTGAATTGGAACACCAACATTGCGGCTGTGACGTCATGCGCAAACGTACAGTAAAAATTGACGTTTTGGGGTAAATAACCACTTCATTTATTTTTTTCATTTATTCCTTTAAAAAATTGTTAATTAAGCTCCTTTACCTTTTAAGACTCACAACAAAAAGACACATGTCTAGTGTTTCAACTTTGGTTTATCCACAGTTGTTTATCTGATCGTATCAATCATGTGAAATTTTTCGAAAACGTCAAGGGGAGAGCGCTGGCGCTCAACAGGTTAATGAGACTACCTGTATCTGCCCATGTGTCTAGTCAGTCTAGATAACCCATTGAGTTGCATTGCGCCCTATCTAACGCAAAGAGATTTTACTCGTCAAGAGGAGAGCGCTGGCCGCGCAATGGGTTAAATATCGTCGTGAGACAGAATTTGGGATTTCACCCAAGAAACTCACCCAGCTTCGACTTCTAATATTAATTGTTGACAAGGTACCCAGCACCAACGACTCGATTTAAGACTGCTTTACACTAGCAGTATCCACTTAGCTAGAACGGGTCAAACGATTCTAACAATTCAAATTCAATGATTACAAAATTGTTTATAAGTACAAGTATGTGAGAAGGCGCACGATTATGTTGGATTACGTGGCAATGACGTCATCATTGCATTCGTGACGTATTTCCCAAGAGGGAAATACGTCACGAATACTTCCTTGGTCAATCAAGACAAAAAGCTATTCGCTCATCTCATGATTGCTGACCGAAAAGTATTTAAGAATGAATGTCAGTAAAAATAAAAAAATATTAATATTTCCGTGGCCAAAGCTAAAAAATCGATTTCGCTCATTTTCCCCGCATACGTAGTCTAATGTGTCGTGAGATGTACCCATAGAAATAATATTATTTCTATGGATGTACCTTATACTCTATGAAGTCATATGCTTGCTTATTATTGACAAAATAAGGATTTATATTGACCCCTACGAAATGGCCATTTTAGTTGCAAAATATGGACTTGTAAAACATGGACTTGATCTTCGAGCGAATTTATTATCGATGATATGTTTCTCTATATGTACACCTATATAGAGAAACAGGTAAAAATACACGAATTATTCTTCTGTGCTCGCTTGCTCCCACCCCCACCTTATTTTGCCCCCGGATCGAATTGGACAGACAATAGAGAGGTTAAGATACCTCGGTTTCGGTGTACGTGTACGGGTAGCATGATTTTGGTTAGCAATATTTTCGTCGATGTATGTACCTTTACTCGTAATTAAGGTGCACATTTTTCGCATTATATCATTGTCTATTGCAAGAAAACAGAAAAAGTATGATCGAATTACAGACATCAGTAAAACAAGATGACACTACTCGTACCCGTACACCGAAACCGGGGTATCTTAACCTCTCTAATAACGAAATAGATCGGACCGAGTTAACATAATTAAACTTCAAAAATACTTAACCTTTTTTGCATATCTATGTTAAATAGCTTTTTAACTAACATTTTGACAAAAAAACTTCCACTATTTGCATGGCATGCATTTTCTACCATGTTTTACAAGTCCATATTTTACAAGTCCAGTCCTATAGTTTACAAGTCCAGTCCAGTCCATGTTTTACAACATGCAACAAGCCGGAGTCTACGTACTGTTTAATAAACGAGCAGGAGTGTTTTATTAGGTTTAAAGACCTAATAAAACACGACCTGCGAGTTTATTAAACGGCTTCAAACACGACTACAAATTCAATAGATATACTGCCTTATTAGTATTCTTTATATAAAGAATACTAATGAGGACACGACTACAATAGATACTGCCTGATTAGTATTCTAGATACTGCCTGATTAGTATTCTGATTAGTATCCTGATTAGTAAACAGTGGTAATCTTAAATAATTTGAAGCTTTATCGCATATTTAATAAAACCATTGTCGAATGTTGGACAGTTTTCTGAAAGTAAAGATTATTTAGTGTGCAAATCGTAGATCAAAAAATCAGAATACCGAATAATTACTTGCCAAGCAGGGATTTTCGAAATGGTGCAGTATGATAAGACTGATAATCAGCAGCGCTTTCAGCATTAAATTAATTTAAATGCTTGTGATGTTACTCTGAGACTCAGAGTAACATCACAAGCATATATTCACCTGAGTGATCGTCTATGACCATCCTAGACCTAGGCTCAAATTGCCTATAATTATATACTGTACAGAAAAGTCACTAAAAATGTAAAATATAAGCAGGTCTAGGCTGATTTATGACTATGTTTATGCTCCGCTTCAATGGAAACAGGAAAATATAAGATATATATAACTCGGATGTCAAAGACGTCTCTTTTTCTAAGTAGAAAAGTCGGCGGATAAATTTATATTGGTTTTAATATTAACTAACTCGTTTGTTGAAATACAAAACAACAGTCATTCCGATTAACATTTTGAAAACGTTTCGACTAGATTTTAGGCACGAAATTACTACATATTATATGTACTATACAAAGAAGTACTATGTCTATGTAAGTAAGTTCATTAGTCAAGGCCGTCGGAAGTAAATCAATATTGGGGAGGGGGGGAGGAGGAGGGCTAAAGAATAAATCTGAATAAATCTGAATTGCTTTCGCACTTTTCTAATTCTTTTGTGTGTTTTCTTATACAAATGTTTGTTCTTTAGAAGTATAATTCTACGATTAAGGTTAGCTTTCAGTCTGCGTATCGATTCTTTGAACAGTATTAATAGTAATAGCTGATTAGTGGTCAGCTCCGATCTGTCGATTATTATAAATAATTTTACATGTAAATAGTGTTAATATCCGTAATAATATCCGTAATAATATCCGTAATAATATCACAGGAAACATACGACAAGTGTCAATGACACATTTACATGAGGCATTTCGCGAAAGGCAGCATGTATTTTAATATGTGTATTTACAACAAAGAGGGACGTTCGAATGTTCACGTAAAATTAATCATTAAATTTGCATTTGACTTTTTGACAGCCTCCCTGCCGGTGACCCTAGTGCTGTACTGCTGTTAAACATATCGTTAAATACAATTGTATTCTGCTGCCAAGTGCCAATAATGTATTCTTGAAATTCAGGAAATACCAGTCTCCTCCATGCACACGCAACTCTTTGGCAAAAAACTGGTTATTTTATATGCTGTGCTGAGTGGTTATATTGCTACCTTAAAAAATAAGCAGAAACTCGACGTTTCGAGCGAAGGTCTAGACTTGCTCCAAGTCGACCTCCAGCCTCCAGGGACACGCGCGAGAAAAGAACGAACGCGAGCGAGCGAGCCTCCTCTCCCGCTGCGCCGCGCATATCATATTACTTTCAAAAATTCATTCGCATAAATAAGGACGTATTAAAGGCGAGGGACTTTGCGAAAGTCTAGCGAAGGTCCTTCGTCAAGAGTTAGTGAATGGAATATGGAATTTACTGAATCTGACCGGGATCTATAAAGATGATGATTCCTTAAAATTCGCTAAATATATTTTGCCTGCGGAAGAGGCTAGCTAGCGTATAAAACCGCATTGATACGGCTCGAAGTAATCTCAATTAAATTAATTAAACAGCTCAAGTATTTTCAAAGGGACATTCGCATTGATACTGAATCCTGTAATTTGATATTGTAAATAGTAATTTATTCATATTTGTAACTCATTGTCATACTGTATTCATTTACTCTGAAGATGTCTTAGGTTAAAGACGAAACGTTAGTACTTCTTAAATAAATTTTTATATTATATTATTGTCTATATGGCTCTTTTGCGTACGTTATGCTGGGCATTAATCTTTATACTACGATTACGATTCCCGCCTGGTTCATCACTTGCAAGTATAGTGACGATGGCAATGAGCAACAATGCACGTAATAATAAATATTCGAACACCGCAGAAGTAGCCTAGCTGAGGCTTTTTACTTCAGCTAGAAAACATGTGTTTTGAAGTCTGCGAAGCTAAAGGTCCAGACACACCGGACGCGATTCGACAACGCGACGCGATTCGGTCAGTGAAAATCGAAAAATCGCGTCGCGTTGTCGAATCGTGTCCGATGTCAGTCTGGACCTTTATTCCTGCCCGCTACTGCACCTAGGGTGCATTTCATGTAAACTCTACGCTGGAGAAACGCCAGCAACAGCCTGAGCTCAAATTGGGCTCAAAAACGATACATTAATATTGTAGAAAAATACATGAAAATGCAACCATACCTTTTGGTCCAATGTGGAACGACTGAACGACAGCAATTGGATCTTGTTTGATCAGCCCAGTTCACTAAACCACGACCTTTCTTGTCAACTATGTGACTTAAAACCGCGTGTATTGTGTCAAGAATTTCCGTGCTCTTCTTTATAAGCACTCGGAGGAGGTATGGTTACAACCTCGTTCCCAGGCTCTTCCCTCTTGTTAAGGACGAGGTTGGTATGGTGGTATGGTTACTATACCGGTGTGGCGGTGTCCCAGGAATTTCACCCCCCCCCCTCCTTTAGAAATTTCCCCTTTCCTTTAGGGATTTCATCCTCCGTAAAAATTTTACCTTCCAAACGGTTGCATGGGATAATTATTACTGTATTACATGACTTTTAGTCATTTGAAATCAGTTACCATGAACATCAATAGGCAATTCCAGCGTTTAATTTATGCATGCAGGGGGTGATGGGAAGTAATTATCATATTGCTGATTATGCTGAAAAACTGCCGAAACGACCGAAATATTTCAATATTTACAATATTTACGGCCGTCATTTTTAATTTTTCAGCATAATCAGCAATAAATTCAAATTGTAATGACTTTATTAGCATGATCCATAATTACAAGATATTGCTAAAGTACTGTAGTTACATCACTGAATGTTATAACTATTAACGTTCATAACCGCTAACTGATAATAACATATTTTAACTTTATAGTATTTACATGATATTTGTGTTCACTGATGAGACATATTTAAGATTACAAGATATATTGCTATTTAAGGGTTTTAATTTAATATATAGTGTCTATATCGGATTAAAAAAAAAAATAAATTTATACGATTTGTTTTAGGCATTTTTGTATTTCTGGCTTCAAAGTACTCACTCCGTTTTTCAAAACTAACTGTTATATATTTTGAAAAAACATTCAGTACTTTCGGATCATTAGATTTTATTATATTCACAAGGTTATCTTTTGCACCTATCAATGTTAAGCCGGGGGGGGGGCGGGCAACCCCTGGGGAATTGATCATCAATGATACTACAAGTCTCGGGAATTTGACAATACTGATGGGTCCGAGGGTGGGGAAATTTGACATAGCCGCCATTTTGAATAATTGTAAAATTGGAATAATTTTCGGCTGAGCATGCGCAGTTTTCTCAATTCATGTGGAAGCTCGGAATAAAGGTGAGAAAATCTTCCTTTTTTCACCAACAGTGTGCATGTTAGAACAACTTTGGTCTACTAGAACAAACCAGACACAGTACTAAAATGCGGTGCCCGCCTACAAATAAAACTTTTGGCGTTTACGCCTGCATGTACAAGTAAATTTATATTTAGCACTCTACATATTCTCCTGTCGGCTGGCAGTTGGTCCGTACGTTAGGATCAAAACTGCGTTTTAAAGCCTTCAAAATAAAATATTTTGGGCTCAACATACTATCAAAATGAGGAGAAAAGTGAGACGAATCCACTGGCATACGGCCGAAAACGAGAAAACCAACAATTCCGAAGTTATCAAGGATTAAACGGACTGCATTTTTAATTAGTTTAATAATTTTGAGCGATTTGTAAACAATACAATTTCGCTTATTAAAACTGCACATTAAAACCTTCAAAATATAATATTTTGGGCTCAAACTACTAACAAAATAAAGAGAAAAGTGAGACAAATCGACTGGTAAACGGACGAAAAAGAGAAAACCAACAATACGAAAGTTATTAAGGTCAAATGTATTGCATTTTTAATTAGTTTAATAATTTTGAGCGATTTGTGAACAATACAATTTCGCTTGTCTTTCAAAGGCCATAAATCGCTAGAATTGGGCGCATAAAACCAGAGATAAGACGCAGCAAAAAGTCAATCGTGAGAGTTCGAGTTGTAATTCGAAAGAAAACTTTCCTCGAAAAAAGGAATTCGGAAAACGTGAAGGATTATTTTGAGCGGCTTTTGAGTTTCAAAGGCGACAAATAGCTAGAATAGAAGTCAATTTTGAAATCAATTTTCCATCCGTAAACACAACTTTTCACGCTGATTCGAACAGTGGTATTTTTGTCCTTGTTTGACGCATAAAACCAAAGATAAAGCTGAGCAAACTGTCGATCATCATGAGTGTACACGATTAATAATAATTAATAAATTCCGAGCACATGCAAGGAATTTTTGGTAGGCGATTAAGGAAACGTATTGATGCGAACAAACTAACAAACGGACAAACTAACAAACAAACTCACAGGCAGAATATAATGCGGTGCCAAAAATGGCACGGACACCGCAATAGACGACTTATTTTGGACATGCGTGTTTTGCAGTTCAATATGATTTTGTTTATATTCCTGTTTATTAAAACGTTGTTTCCTTCAGAGTAGAGGGAGAGGAGAAGGGGAAATTTGGAGAGGGGAGGAGAGAGGAAATTTGAGAGAGGAAATTTTCCCCAGGAGAGGGGAAATTTGACCAACTACTTAATTAAGCCCCAGAGTCGGAAAATTGACGAAAGACAAGTTGAAAATGTCAAATTCCCCGGGGGTTGCCCGCCCCCCCCCCCCACCCTGGGGCTTAACAATGATAGGCGCATTTTTTTCGGTAGTCGAGAGTTTTTTGTTGCATTGTCTTTGTAATATATTGTTTGTGGTATGTCTGTGACAGTCTGTCTTCTCTGTAGTAGTTAAAAGATAGTGCAAAGTGATATTCATCTTCAATTTCGTTTAATATATTGTATCACAGAGATTACTTAAGCGTTGTTCACGGGAGATGTTGTGATATCGACCGTATTCAATCTGTAACTTATGCCACAACTTATTCGAAATTTAGTTACTGTTTCTCTTTGAGATGTGTTTCTTATAGTTGTATGTAGAAAGAGAGTTTGGAGGAATTGTCTAACTTATGTTTCCAGAAGGTGACATATTTATTTTTAGCATTGCTTATAAAAACCAGGAACCAATTTAACCTCTGGAACTAGGGTATCACCGAGGCAGTTATTGTTAATATTGCAATATGATACCTTACTTCCCATCCTCCCCTGTGCGCATAAATTAAAAGCTGGAATTGCCTATTCGAAATTGTGAAGAATGCAAATTTACATGTATAAAAGACAATGACGCTTCGCAACACATCCTTGCATTTTTTGTTAATCCTTAAACTCCTTAAAAAGTAATCACCGTGGTACCCTGGTTGCCAGAGGTTCTCACATCTTCCGCCCTATTCTCGCTCGTATTTATACGGCGGCACAAGAACCTCTGGAACCAGGGTATCACCGCGGCGGTTATTGTTAATATTGCTATTTGTCAAAACTCGTTTTTCCACTGACACAATAAACTATATGAGTCTACAAAGCAAATTTCAGTTACTAGAATATCAAACCTCCCTTCTAAATTCCATGTTTTGCTTATATTTTAGAGAACATGTACATAAATAGTTAAAAATGCGAGCAAATACATATCCGATATAAAATATGAGCAAATCAGGCGAATCCGATAAAAAATGTTAGTCAGAATCTGATATTTTTACCGTTGAGAGTAGTGGGTCTAAAACCATTGAAAATTAACCCCTTCTGGTACTTAAGTTGACGAATTTCACTTCAATAAACTACGCACATACTCATGATTAAGCAGGAATAAATCTAAGCTATGCTATATGGCAGCCAAGTTCGTGATTAATTGCTTTTTCTTTTGTTATGCACTGCTTGCTAATTAGAACAGAGCCAGAGGTGAAGGTATGCGATTCTGACTAACATTTTTATTGTACTCGTACTTGCTTACTTTTTCTCCACTTGGCATGAAAAACATGCCATTCAGTAGTTAAGCGCCTGTTCTTTCCGAATATGAAAAGATCATACGCCGAGTAAGTCACGTACAATAGCACGCTGAAGTTTGATTATATACTGCTATCGCTGATTGGGAACCGCAATGGGTGCTGTCAAGTCGTGTAACATCGCCTTAATTGCATAAAGGCCCGTTTACACTTGCAACTTTTGCTGCGATTTTCTTCTTCTGATGGATGTGAAGGAGTGGATGAGTTATGAATGTTCAGATTAAGGTACACGTTTCAAAACGTTCTAACACGTTCTAGAACTACTCGTTCCCATCAGAAGAAGAAAATCGCACCTAAAATCGCAGCAAAAATTGCAAGTTTAAACGGGCCTTAATTTAAATTGATTTAAATTAACTGGATTAAATTAAACTACCGATTGTAAAACTATTTCGTTTCAATATACAGTATTCGATGTCAAGTATAGTGAAGACTGAAGGTTACTAGGGGTCACTGTAAATCTCAAGACACATTAGGCTACATATGGGAAAAAATGAGCAAAATTGATTTTTGAGCTTTGCCTTTGGCCCCTTACTTCGAATTTTTTGTGGACATCCACTCTTAAGGCTTCCGTGCCAAGCAGGGATTTTCGAAATGGTGCATGCAGTATGATATTGAGCGACGCTTTCTGCAACATTTGTTAAATTAATTTAACAAAGACGATCGTCTATGACCATCCTAGAACTTGGTTCAAATTGCCTATAATTATATACTGTACTGCAAAAAAGGCACTAAAATGTAAAATATAAGTAGGTCCAGGCTGACCTATGACTATGTTTATGCTCCGCTTCAATGGAAACAGGAAAATATAAGATTTATAACTCAGATGTCAAAAAAGACGTCTCTTTTTCTAGAAAAGTCGGCGGATCAATTTATACTGGTTTTAGTTAATAATGGATCAACACTCGTTTGTTGAAATGGAGTAAAACAACAGTCATTCCGATTAACATTTTGAAAACGTTTCGACTAGATTTTAGGCACAAAATTACTAAATATCATAGGTACTATACAAAGAAGTACGATGTCTATGTATTAGTAAGTCCATTAGTCAAGGCCGTCGGAAGTAAATCAATATTGGGGAGGGGGGGGGGAGGCTCAAGAATAAATCTGAATAAATTTGAATTGCTTTCGCACTTTTCTAGTTCTTTTGTGTGTTTTGCATGCTTATACAAATGTTTGTTCTTTAGAAGTATAATTCTATGGTTAAGGTTAGTTTTCCAGTCTGCGTATCGATTCTTTGAACAGTATTAGTAATAGCTAATTAGTAGTCAGCTTCCGATCTATCGATTCAATTATAAATAATTTTACATGGAAATAATATCACAGGAAATATACGATAAGTGTCAATGACACATTTACATGAGGCATGTCGTGAAAGGAAGCATGTATTTAATAATTTATGTGTATTTACAACAAAGAGGAAAGTTAAGTTCGAATGTGCACTTGATTTTCGACAGCCTCCCTGCCGGGGACCCTAGTCAGTGCTGTACTGCTGTTAAACATATCGTTAAATTACTTAAAAGTTAAATAGAATTGTATTCTGCTGCCAAGTGCCAATGTTTGCCCCCCCCCCCTCACATGAAAAAGTGAATTTCCGCCACTGCTTGAAATCCAGGGAATACCAGTCTCCTTCACACGCAACTCTTTGGCAAAAAACTGGTTATTTCATGTGGAATTTACTGTATCTGACCGGGATCTATAAAAATGATGCTTCCTTGAAATTCGCTAAACTATAGTTTGCCTGCGGAGGAGGCTAGCTAGCGTAGCTGTCGCCGTTATAATCCGTTATAAAACCGCATTGATGGAT